AAACGAATGATTCTTTATTTTCCTGATTTTTTATAAATATGTGTTACTATAGGCAGAAATGTAAAAATATGCTTAAACATTATTCTTATACACTTTAGCTAAAGCTTTTTCACACTCGTTAGTCACATTCTGTCAATAACAAATAAAAGCCGTTTGTCTGCACTTTGACCATCCCTGATGTTAGAAAGAAAGTGCGAAAGTCTACATTTTCTCGAGAACTTGCAGCATGTCTATTTTCAAACATGTATTACTATAAATAGAAACCGCTGTTTCACATTCTGTATTTCATATATGCTTTCTTTTACTTGTTGGTCACTGAATGCCAATAGCAGTAAAAACATATTGTCTGCAATTGCTCATCCAAAATGTGAAAAAAAGTACAAAAAACTACATTTTTCCGATAGTTTACAGTATTTCTATTTTTAAACTCATGTTACTATAAATAGAAATAGAAACCTCTGCTTCACATTCTGTATTTCATATATGCTTTCTTTTACTTGTTGGTCACTGAATGCCAATAGCAGTAAAAACATATTGTCTGCAATTGCTCATCCAAAATGTGAAAAAAAGTACAAAAAACTACATTTTTCCGATAGTTTACAGTATTTCTATTTTTAAACTCATGTTACTATAAATAGAAATAGAAACCTCTGCTTCACATTCTGTATTTCATATATGCTTTCTTTTACTTGTTGGTCACTGAATGCCAATAGCAGTAAAAACATATTGTCTGCAATTGCTCATCCAAAATGTGAAAAAAAGTACAAAAAACTACATTTTTCCGATAGTTTACAGTATGTCTATTTTTAAACTCATGTTACTATAAATAGAAATGGAAACCTCTGCTTCTCATTCTGTATTTGATATAAGGCTTTCTTTTACTTGTTGGTCACCATATGCCAATAGCAGTTAAAAACAGACAGTCAGCAATTATTCATCCAAAATTTTAGAAAAAAGTACAAAAAATGACATTTCTCTGATAGTTTACAGTAAGTCTATTTTTTAAACACATGTTACTATAAATAGAAATGGAAACCTCTGCTTCTCATTTTGTATTTGATATAATGCTTTCTTTAACTTGTTGGTCACTATATGCCAATAGCAGTTAAATACAGATAGTCAGCAATTATTCATCCAAAAATTTAGAAAAAAGTACAAAAAGTGACATTTTTGCGATATTTTGCATCACGTCTATTTTTAAAACATGTGTTACTATAAATAAAAATGAAAACCTCTGCTTCTCATTCTGTATTTCGTTTATGCTTTCTTTTACTTGTTGGTCACCATAAGCCAATTAGCAGTTAAAAACATATAGTCTGCAATTGTTCATCCAAAATGTGAGAAAAAAGTACAAAAAACTACATTTTTCTGATATTTTGCAGTACGTCTATTTTCAAACATGTGTTACTATAAATAGAAATGGAAACCCCTGCTTCTCATTCTGTTTTCGATATAAGGCTTTCATTTACTTGTTGGTAACCATATGCCAATAGCAATTAAAAACAGATAGTCAGCAATTATTCATTCAAAATTTTAGAAAAAAGTACAAAAAACGACATTTTCACTATATTTTGCATTACGTCTATTTTTTAACACGTGTTACTATAAATAGAAATAGAAACCTTTGCTTATCATGCTGCATTCCATTGAATGTTCTTTTGTTCTTGTCAGTCACATAATATCAGTTACAGTTAGTGACAGTAAGTTGGTAAATTTCCCATCTGTAATTTGAGAATTAGTGGAAAATCAACATTAAACAGTTAATTTCATATGTGTCTATTTTTAGACATTTGTACTATTTATAGAGATGAGAGCCTGTCCTCAATAATTTGTGAGATATTATACTATTCCTTGTTCTTATTGATGAAATATTGGAGAGATCCATATTTTTATTATTTATGATTCAGTGGAGCTTCAAAATGAGGAAAAATTGACATTTTTCATCATTTTATGAGACATGTCTATATTTAGGCATTTGAAGCTATAAATAGAAAACGGAAATCCCTGAAAATGATATGCATGGTAGTTATTGGTGTCCAGTCTCTGACATTAGCACATTGACTTTTACAGTATATTTCATAATTACCCAGCAATGGCATCTAAAACTCTGCCCAAATTTCATTTTTTGGATTTTTCTGAAATATGTCTATTTTTAGATACATGTTACTAAAAATAGCATTGAGATCCCACTCCAATTTTTTCATGAGTGGACACTACTAATACTGACGTTTGACGATACGCATATGATTTGAAAAAATTCCGTAGACAATTTTTTTTATTTCACCTTAAATTTCTCAAAAAATGCCAAATTTTCCATTTTTCACATTTTGAGAAACTATGCTATTTTGCCGAACCGTTTTCTAAGAGTGGGGTCAATTCTGGAATAACTGGTTATATGCCCTGTATTCTTTAACAATTGATGTTTTCTTATGATACAAAGATTTATATTTGAGTTCACTACATAAAGATAAAAATGCATTCATATTTCCTCAATTTTCATGCTTTTGTTTGGTCAAAAATGGCCGAAAATGGCCAAATTCAATGGATCCGTCTCCATGGCAACCGGGTGCACGTGGGAAACTTCTAACACCATATTCGCTGGTTTTGTACCAAGGTGCACCTGTGGTGCAAATTTCATCAAAATCGGAGATATGTCGTTTCCAAGCCCTATAGTAAATTTTTTGGTGCTTACAGAGAATGCATGTTAAAAATAATGTTTTTTCATCGACAAAATAATAATTAACTCGAGATTTGACTTGTTAATACATTTTCACACGATTTCAACTCAATTTACCATGTCTCTATGCATGAAATTAATGCTTACTAAAATATATGTAATGCTAATTAATATAAGGTGTTGGTAAAAAACAAAATGTCACTTTAATGAAAAACAACAACGCAAAACAGTAATCTAGCGTTAACATTTGGCCATATAACATAAACGCACATTGTATTATTTATTTAGTTGCTTTGGATTTTTTTTTAAATCGCGGCGAATTGATCATGAATTATAATAACGACATTTGAAATTTTTATGACACGCACCTCAATACGAAAAAGGCAGTATTTTAACCCTTTGGACAAGGTCATATCCATCGTTAACTTGTATCCAGTGAATGGTGATCTTTCATTTAGATCATATAAGAAACCCAGCAGGTTATTTTCTGTTATCTTCTTTCGCCCATCGCTACCCGTACCGTTTAACAATTTCACTTCTCCTCTTGAACTACTTCACCTATTTCAACCAATGTTTGCAATAGGCATCAGTGGGTGAAAGTAACATAATCTGCAAAAATGTTCCCTATCCCCTTTGGGTCTGAGGGAGGGACTACCATTGAAATCTAATAATGGAAACTTTGAATATCCTTTTCTTTATACTCCTGTATATTAAGCAGACAAACTCTTGGCACGGTTGCTAGAAACATAGAGCCCTCTTTCAAAAATGTGAAATTCATGATCCCTTGGTAAGGCGGTTTATTGTTAGGGCAGAACTCTATTGGTTATATGGAAAAAATGTATTACATCTTTCCAAATCCCCTTCTCTGCTACTGGGAATCAAGCAAACAAAGTTCATGCTTTTGATAAGCGAGGTTGCCTTTTCCAAAGTTGTGAAATGTATGGCCCCAACAACATGGGTTCTGGTGTTAGGACAGGTTTCTGTCAATTGTATAGTGATAAAATTGTATAATGATAAAATATTTTTTAAAGTCTCATCTCAGCTCTTTGGTATTCAGTAAACAATCTAAGTGCATCGTTATGATAAGCAAGATGCTTCTTTTAAAATTAAAAAAAGTCATGACACCTAGGTCAGGAGATCTGATGCATTGGCGTCGGAAGCAAATTGAAATTGGGGGCTAAGTGAAAGAGAAAAAATTAAAACCTACAAAAAACTTGACAAGCAAAAAAAGGGGGACAGTACTCATTGTCCAAACACGAAAATACTATTTCGTGAACGGGGGGGGGGGGGGGGGGGGGGGGGGGGGGCTAGGATCGAACTAAAATCGAAGTCAGTACCAAATTTTTTTCCACACTACAGCTTACCCTTTTTTGACCTAAACTGCAACGTGTCTGTTGAAAGGGGGTTTAAGGGGGGGGGGGGGAAACCAGCGCCCAATACGCCCAAATGGTCAATGTCTATATGATGTCTATCTTTGTAAAAATAGGGGGCTAAGCCCTCGGCAGTTGCAGCAATCGCTCTAACGATGTCATTTCACATACAAAATTAAATTTAGGAATCGCAGTTGGAAACGTTGGATAACAACATAAATTTTGCCATGTTTCCGACTGTCATTGAGGGGCCTCCTTAGTAAGAATGCATTATTATTATTTTAAAAACAGATCCTGAACATTTAGAAGGCAAAAGATGTAAAAATTATAATAAACACTAGATTTTTACGAGACGTGGGACCACTGGGTCAAGGGCTATTTTGCTGAGCAAGTCTTTATTGATCTTGTAATGAAATTAGTACTCTACATTGTGAATTTATTCCCTTATTCGTTTTTAAATCTTCACTTATAATACTTAGTAAATGTAAATACTGTAAATGATAAATGAATTTGAATTAAAGAATTATTTAACATTTTTTAATGTACAGTACAAAAATATAGCTTTTGATGGTCATGTATGCTGTTGTCAATAAAGCTGATTCTGACAAACGGAGAGGGCATTAGTACTGACAAGTACAGGCAAGTAAATAAACATTATATATGTGTATATTTGTAGAATTATAGTATATACACTGTACATAATTTTTTATCATCACAATATACAAACAATAGTGAAAAAATTTGATCACACAATTTAAAAAATAAAAATTCAAGGCGTCGTTCTTGTCAGACGAAGAGGGATTAAAAACATGAAAAAACTGTTCAGTGTGGAGACTGTTCATGGAGCATGTTTAACTTGGCTTCTGTTAATATTTAGGAGGTGGAGGTGGATATTGGCCGGGATATTGACCTGACGAGGTGTATTGACCAGAGGAAGTGTAGGCAGACGGTTTGTGGATTACCTGGACTGATCACAACCCCTGGATGAGCCTTTTCTACAAAACAAAAAATCAAAAGTAGGATTATTAATAAAAGATACGAATTTAGGGAAGAGTTAAAAGCATTATAATACAGAGATTCGGAACACCAAGCAAGAGCTCTTAATTGAAAACTAACCAAAGTCAATGTTACTTCAATTAGGCAAAAAGAAAGAAATTGGCTGTTGTGATACTAGTATTTTAAATCTTTGAATCGGCTGCTGTTGTGAACATAAAATACATGGTGAAAACAAAATGACCGACAAAATATTTCAGTTTTAACAACTTTAGTTTTCATCAGATCTTTTTTAATTTACACACTTATATGGATATCATGGATATAGAAACTTGATTATTTTAAATCTACTCACTCTTCTTGATGATAATAACGACGACCACTACGATGATAACTACCACTATGATACACGGTATAACAATGGCGCTAAATAAAATAAAACGTTTTTCAAAGTTAGAGAAGATGCCTATATATATATGAATTTGAAAGCATAAAATCATTTTTAAAAAATAAAATTAGAAAGAAATGATACAAAAATATGTATAATTCTGATTTTTCTCCTTACGCAATACTGATGCAAACTGTTTCACCACAAATGGAGCCGACTGCACAACATGTGGATTCTATCTTGCTGCAGCAGTGGTGCCCATTCGGACAATACAACTGGACACCTAAAAGTTTGCCGCACGCTTCTCCGGCTGCATCTAAATGTCATGAAACCCAAACATAAGGACAAAAACAACACTGAGATTAAGAGAAACTTTTGCATATTTTGCATATTGCAAATCACTAATAAGCCTGGGCATTGTCGGACAAATTACAGTAAAATTATGACACGAATTGACAGACCTGGAAGAGAAGTACTCATCTGCAGAATGCGTATTGTTGGCTAATAACTAATTCATATATAGTAATTAAAATTTATCCCAGAAATTTTTTAAACAAAATTGAGTATTTTGATTAAATGTGAGTCGCTATTTGATCATATTCCTTACGTTTCATTAATACCTTTGCAAATTTATGTTTTATGATAGCATAGATGGAATTCTTGTATTTGTTTCTTTTTTCTATTTTTTGTCAAAAACTGACAATGCATAAATGATATTGGTTACAATAATGTTAAAAGTTCCAAAAAAGATGCAGTTTGAATTTAAAGGAGATATTATTAGGGGGAAAAACCACATGACGTTATATGTTATACGTCCCGCTGTAGAATTTTTCAATTATATAGAGACGCCCTATACCGGTGAAGGGATTCAAATGTAGACATATTCTGACACCCAGGACCATTGCGATAGGAAGTGTTTGATCGTGACAACGCTTACAATGACAGGAAACAAGGGGTTTTTAAGGTCTCTTTAAAGAATCCTGTTTGTTCATTTATATTCTACCCCGTCCCTATGCAAGGTGCCCGACCTTCACGTTTTGTCTTAAATGCAATGATGAACTTACAGAAATACAAAAATTGATTTCATTGAAAGATATCTATTGCTTGTAATTTAATACGGAATTCCATTGTTGTTTGATTGTGTTTGAATACGCAATTGCTTACGTGTATAATTAACAATTGCGGTGTTATTCATTTAAATAGCTGGTTACATGGAGCACTGTTAATTGATTAACTATACAAGTTTAACTTTAAAATCTATATGATATTTTGTTTTTTAGATTGACTTCTTTGATAGCTTTCAGCGTTCAAAGAATTTTGGTCCCTTGTTATTTGTGTCTTATTAGTTGGAATGCATTTATTTTTGGCATACTGTAACTGTTTTGTTATCCCCTCTCAACGGAGTTAAAGGGGGTATCGTTTCGCAATCATGTTTTGTGTGTTTGTTCGTGGATCATGTCCTGTGCGAAACGAAATGACTTAATGTGCTTCGGGATGGCGGTCGAATGCTTCCTTAATTGATTTATAGATATGGTATTTGCAAGGGGATGCACCGATTTGTTTGTATTATTTTGTCTGTCCATTCAAATGAGATATATAATTTATTGAATTGATAAAAGTTATGAAAAAGATAAAGACTTTTCAAAACAGATTAAACTTCAAGATAAATGTGATGGATTCATATATTATAATACAATTCAAAAATCCTGTCACAATTAATACATAGATGACAAAAATGATGAAAACACTACCTCTTTGGCAGTAACATTTGTCGCCAACATTAAGAGTCAAACGTCTTGGTCGAAATTATGTGATCAAAAATGATACAGCTTTTTACAAAGTGTTCCCATGATAGTGTATGTGTAAAATATGAAATCACTCTCCTCTCTCCTTGAAAAGTTAGCATCATTTTTTAATTTTTTAAATTTAAGACAAATTTAAAGGTCACAGCAGTCGGGTCATGTCATTGACAAATATCACAACACATTCTGCACTTCTCATGTCATAGGTACAGTAAAACACAAATATGAGCTCATTATTATTCCCCCCTTATTCCTAAGTATCACCAATGTTAAAATTTTTGAAAAAAAAGTATCTTAAATTTTAAGGGCATGGTCTCATAAATTAATGTTTATTTTGAAACCTCTTTCATATCTAACATACATATTAAATACTAAGGTCCGGTCTTTTTTTTTTTTTTTTCGTTAAAAGGTTTGACCATGCAAGGCTGAAGTTTTTGTGACGCAAAAACTGAGAAAACGGCTGAGATTTATTGTTCAATTAGTTTTGCAAAACAGGGGACAAAAAAGAAATTTGAAAGGAAGACCATAAACTCAGAAGAGACTTGAGTCAAATATATTTTAAAATAATTTTCATAGCAAAGCAAAATTTATAGCATATGTTTAAATTGAAATACATTTGTACTATACAAATCTGCAGTTTTTTTAAACGTACATATTATAAATGACTGGCTCTTCAAAATCAATATTTTGACTTAAGTCTGTTCTCAGTTTATGGTGTCCAGGCCTGGTGCCTAGGAAGAGTAAACATCCCCTGTTGTCAATCACACCCGCCGTCAGAACTACCAGTTTATCACATCTGACATAATAACATACACTTAGTTTTGTATACGGTTTTTTTTTTCGTATAATGAAGATGAATTTTCATTATTCATTTTGGATAAGTAACAGGAATTTCAAGTTTGTACGAGGGCCGTTCAAAAATTACGCGGACTTGTTGCACAGAAAAAATATCTGGCGACATAATCGGGCAAAATTTCACACATAATATAAAAGAATCTTTATTTATATGGTCTTCAAAATTTCGTATCAAAATGTTGTAAATTGGTATCAATTTTGAGTGATTTTTCAGGACATATCATTGAGTCACGGAGCAGCAAAATCTTCGACGTCGCAGACATTATGAAAAAATATGTGATTATGCTTTCATTTTCACAACATTTTCCCAAGAGTACCTGTACAGTTTGAGCTACCTCATCTGTATAACATCCAAACACCATTTCTTGTCAAGCTTAAAATCTATTAAACAAGTCAAGAATATTCTTTTTTTGTTTTAAAACCAAAAAAATGCAGGTATTTATGAGATATAGTGTGGTATTGGTGACTCTCAATCACGTTCTTTACAGTCCGAATAAATTTTTCGTCGATAATCTTCTTCCCGTCCTCCCGTATAGCCTTTTTACAGAGGTCTAACGGTCTAAAATTTCAATTTGCTATTTGTGGACGAATGTCACAAATACCCTAGTTTACTACATGTTTTATTGTGCATATTTTGGACCTATGTTGGCGATATCTCGAGCATTACACATAATTTAACAAAAGTGTGGTGCGCCGTCAATTCGGGAAACGTCATTTTCACGGTCGTTTTCACGGTAATCACATCATAGAAAAATCACTATATTTCTGCTAGTACTTCAAATATCACGTCAGAAATCTAAATACATAATAATAGGGCAATTTAAAGATACTTTTGAGAAAATTGTCGAAAAATATCGCGAATTAAAGAAAACTAATGCGTTTAATTTTGGATTCCGCATGATTTTGCTTCAATTTTTGTGTCGTGCTCCGTACCTCTCCATCAGCGATATCAATACACCGA